ACGTACACACCACACATTTTACAAGAATGTAGGAGGACCCGCTTGATTCACTTTTCAAACTTGAAAAATGAGGCATATTAACAAAGCACACTAAATGAATCAGCTGTTTAGGATGATCTACAAGCCAGTTCATTTTCCTGTTATTAAATAACAAACCATGAATCTTGACAAATGAACCCCACTAGTTTGACATTATTTGAAAAACTCATAACATGCTTGCTTCTGTTGGGCACTTCCCCTTTGAAATTAAATTTTGAGATTGGCTTTATTTAAATTCTGGTAGAGGGAAAGAGCTTGTTAACCTTCATTTTGACTGCATGCTGTTTACCATCATCATTCTTTTCTCCCCCCTTATACTTGGCTCACCAGAGCTTCTGCCCGAGTCTCGCTGTCCAGGGCTCACTGCAAGGAAGCCGGTTGTGTTTGTTGGCGCCTCTGTCTTTAAGAGGTGAAGTTCCTGGTGTTGTGGGGACTGCATGACTTCTGGAGTCAGACTCCCTCAGTTCATATTGGGGCTGCAGCCTTGTGACTTTGCAAAAATCATTTGCCCTGTCTGTGCCTCTGTTTTCTCATTTATAAAATGAGCTTAATATTATTTGCCTCATTAGGCTGTTATAAAGGCAACATATAAAATGATGAGCAAGACCCTGCTGGGTAGCTCAGTTGGTCAGAGCGTCATCCCTAGAGGCCAAGGTGGTGGGTTCATTCCCCCATCAGGGCACATATATGAATCAACCACTAAATTGCATACATAGGTGGAGCAACAAATCCATGTTTCTCTCTTTCTCTCTCTTCCTATCTCTCTGGAATCAATAAAAAATGCATAGCAAGCACACATTAAATGTTACCCATAATGATTAGAATCTTTATCTTAAGAATAACATCTTCAAAAATGGATGCCAAGTCATTTTACTTAATTTACTAAGGATGACATAGGTACAAATCTGCTGATTTAGCAGCCCCAACATGTGACTAAGAAGGCTCCAGCCCCCATCCCATAATCCCTAACAGCCCCTCCCAGCAATGCCACCATGAATAAACATCTGAGAAAAGCATGCACGCTTGCCAAGCATATGCGGCTTCTGCTTCCTGAGAAGTCTTCTATCTCCCCCTTCAATCCCAGTGCCATCCCAAGGTCTTTTTTTGAAAATCTGCCATTTCTACTAGCTTTAACCAAGGACACTGCAAATTCATAGCCACCCCTTGCCTTGTAGCAGCTCAGTGTTACAGTGTTCAGCAACCCCAGACCTTAAGTGCTCACCACCCCTCAATAGGATTTACAAAGTGTGACTTTGGGCAATATCACAAAGTCAGTTTCATCTGAAGGAAAATATTCTTTACTACCATTTTAAAATTTCTTCCTCAGGGCTTTAAAAAGCTAATCAATGATAAAATTCCAAGTTCATTTAAAGATGAAGAATTGAGAATCAGTCACGTTTAACCACTTTTAATCAGGAAAGTAGCTGCTGTGACCCATTAACCCCTAAAGATTATTGATGCCCCCCTTTTTTTAAGATGCTATAGGTTAGTCGTTTGTCTTTGGCAGCCGGAGCATACAAAACCTCTTTTGCTTTTCACAAATTAATTCATTTCAGCCTGTGCATTTGTCAGACATTCCCGGAACCTTCAGCCAATGTTTTGTTGATTAAAAGATGTGTATTTTGAACATGGATGGAGAGGAAGGAATTTATAATTCTCAAAACCAGAGAGTGATTTATAATGCAGGCCGCTACCTGAATCATTCAGTGCATCATCAACACATGAATGAAATATTAAGAATTAGCAGGAGTGTCAGCCCTGGGTCTTAAAATCTATGGATCAATTGGTTCAGTTACACTGAGCAAGTCTACCCCTTTCAGCAGAATTACTAGAACTCACAAACAAGATGATGACAGAGAAAAACACCTTTGTATAGTTTCTTCAAAGGGCTTTTGAAATACATGCTTTTCCCACAACAATCTGGTGCTTCCACTCCTATTTATAAATTACGTACCTTGTTTCCATGCACACAAGTTCCCGCTACTCATTCCAGATTTGATTTGCTTTGGACTGTTTGTTTAATCTCCCCTCCCCCCAGTGAATACATTGGGCCCTTTGCAGGGCACAGTTATTGTTTTAGGCACCATGCAATTTACTAAATGGTGCCCCAGTTGTGTAAAATGCTCGCAAAGATCCCTGAGGGAAAACAAAAGAATTAAGTCAACACATATTGATCACCCTATAGTTGGTGCTTTCTTCTATCAATCAAGGGCTCAGTCTGAACTGGTCCATCTGATCTGAGATACATAGAGCTGGAGACATTTTTCTGGCTCTCTGGTGGTTTAAAAGGCTAGGCAGTTGGAACAACTGCTTTTAAACAAAGCCTCATTTTAAAAGAAGCCTGAGTACAGAATGGAATTCCAAGAATTTAGAGGGAGGGGAGGGGAAAGTGGCAAAAAAACACACAAAAACACCAAACCCTGGGAAATTTAAGAGAAGAAAGCACATGGGAAGTAAAAGATAAATTCCATCTGCCCTGTTGCAGTACACAGAGACCAGGATGCTACTTCAGCCAGGATGTATTGAACACCTACTAAGTGCAGGGCTTGTAAAGAGGTAGAGTTAAGTATTATGGATGTCCGAGAAGCGAAACACAATTCTTAGCTCAAGAAGGAATAGTTTTTCATGCAAACCAAGAATCTTTATGCAGATATTAGATTCCAAAAGACAATCAATATATGCCATTTTATTCAACTATTGGGGACAGAAAATATTCTGCGGTGTAATTCATTTTAAAATTCGACATTAAAAGTGTTGTTCACAAACTCACACTAAAGAAATGGTTGAGAAAAATGTTCATTTCAAAGAAGCGAGTTGGGGCCTCTGGGGTTTGCTCCTGTCATTCCAGCCCTGTCACCTCCCCATTTCTTAAACAAACTGCCTAATACTCCCTTGACCACTTTGTGCTTGCATTTGACGTTGGATTATCCTGTCTTATTCTTCCCAGACCCAAACCCCCAGTTAATAACAGGAAAGCCTGAGGTAAGGGAGCTTGAAGTCCTTTACATAGGAGATGGTTCAGACCCTGGCTGGCCTAGGGAAAAAGTAGGAATTCAGAGGAAAGGATGATTCTAGAAACCTCTCAGAGACTTTGGTAGCTGACGGTATTTTGAGATTTAGGATTAGGGAATGGATGAAGTTAACATCAGAGTCCTAGCATGGAGGCTGCAAGAATGACGGCGACATGGAAAAAATGGGGTAATTGTGGTGGGTGGCTGGTGTGGAAAGATGGGAGATAAGAGTAGATATTAGGAGTTGCATTTTGACAAACTGCCTCTAAGAGGCATGTCTTATAGTCATTGGAAATATGCACTGGGGCAAATAGGAAATCCTGGAAATGTGTGTTAAACAGATTGTAACAGCAGGAAACAAGGCTGGATACTGCTAAAATGTGCCCTCTTTTAGGGATTAAAGGCTGTGTTTATTCCATTTTTATTGTACACCATGTAGCCTAAGTATTTATTAAGCACCTACATGCTATTTGATAAGTACATACCTCCCACCCCTGATAAAATAGCTAATGTGTCTTCAGGTTAAAACTCAGCCAGAAATGTCCCTACTGGAATCTGATGGATGTGTTTATTGTGCCTGTAGGTGGCATTCTGAGTTATGGTTGAGGATATCTGGGATCGTTATATAGACTAAGATCACTGGCGATACAGAGATGAATGACAAATATTACCATTATACATTTTTTTTATCGTTAACATTTATTGTATACTTACTAATTTCCAGGAACCATTTTGGTTGCATTAGCTCACTGAGTTTTGGTAAAATCCCTATGACATGGGGGAGTACTATTTCTATCCTCCTCACATGAATGAGAATGTTGAGTCTCAGGGAGGTCAAGGCACGATGCAAAGGTCACAGAGTCCATAAGAGATGCAGCAGGGACTTCAACCCAGGCAGTCAGTGCAATTTTAGAATTTCTGATGATATGCCTGTATGAAAAAGCAATAAAGTATAATGAGTAATATATCTACTTATTTTGGCATATATAATTAAAAAGATCCTCACATTGTATATCCTTAGTTGCTGGAGGTCATTTTATCATTTCCATTTTTCTCAGAAAGAGTCTGACAGGTTAAAGGAGTTATCTACTGGGGGGAGATTTTACTCCCAGGGGACATTCATGAGTGTGTGAAGACATTTTTGGTTGCCACAACTGCGGGATGGGTGCTGCTAAAATCTGGTGGGTAGAGGCCAAGGATGCTGCTACCACCCTATAACGAACAGGACAGCCCTCCAAAAAAAGAAGTGTCCTGTCCACGTTGTCAGTAGTGCTTAGGTTGAGACCCTGGGTTAGAGTGAAATAAAGGGGACCTTGACTGATGGGAGAGAATGGTGGCTGAGTCTTGCTAACAAAGTCTTTTTCCCCATGAAGAAGCAGGTTTGGGAGGGGAGAAGAGATCAGATAGATTCATTCATTTGCTTGTTTACTCATAGAATCACCATCCACAGAATGATTTCTTTGTATCAGGAATTGTGCTGGAGAGTAATGCGGAGGAAACAATCTTCGGGAGTTGCTTTGGATAAAAAGAAGGAACAAAGAGTTAGAGGCAAACCAAAGATGCTTGGCTATTGAACATGCGCTGGGCAGAGCTTTGGTGTCAAGAGTGAGCTGTGTTCTTTTGTCAGAGAAGGAGATAACATGCTACCTTAGAGGTCTCTAAGGAAAGTCACAGTGGACAGACTCCGAAGCCATAGGCTGCTGTCAGAAGCCCCTGGGAACTTGGTTATGTCCCATTTATAGCAAGCTCACACTGATCCAAATGCAGGGCCAGAGAGGGGAGAGGGCATCTTTTGTTCTCAGAAGTCCACAGAGTCGTGATGTATATAAGTATGTGTGTGCATGTGTGGATCGGAGAGGCCGAGACGCTTGCATTGCTTTCGAGGTGCTCTGCTGGCCTGGGAATAGGTGCTGGCTTTGTTTTTCCAGTAACAGCCTTTTCTGTTTCCAGCAGTCCTATGCACCAGCTCCCCACCCCATGGCTCCTCCCAGCCCCAGCACAAACAGCAGCAGCAACAACAGCAGCAGCAACAGCAGCGGGGAACAGTTGAGTAAAACCAACCTGTACATTCGAGGCCTCCCACCAGGCACCACTGACCAGGACCTAATCAAGCTGTGCCAACCGTAAGTGCCCTTCTGCTCTGCGCCGTTTCTAACCCACGTGCTCGCCCACGTGGGCTCCGACCACGCCGGCCTTGGCTCTTGTACCCCATCCTCCCATTCACTGGTGTCTCAGTGAGGAAGATGCTGTTGTCTGAAGGGATTTAAATTTGAGATCTAAGTCCAGCTTACTGTAGGGAATGAATTTGTTTATGGTATGAAGAGGGGATTCTTGAGCAGATATACATGGGAGTGCTGGCCGGTGTGCATGTATTGACTAGGAAGATAATGGGCAAGCATTGAGTTGGGCCCTGAAACCTTGTGGTTGGTGGAGTCAATGATGAATCTCATGAAAAAAAAAAAAAGGCTTCCTCCCCCCCACTCCCACGCCCAGAAGTATTAGTGGGGAAATCTCAAAAACTCAGAAGAAGTGATAGATTTCAGCATGGTTATCTCCTGTGTTGCAAACTTCCTGGCCAGTGCTTGTAAATCTCAATTCAGTGGGAATCAGGTAATTAGAGAATTGTAAGGCAAATGCTCTAGTTTCATTAAATACATCTATTTGCAAGTCCAGTGAATCTACTTTCCACCAAGGCCAAGAACTACACTCGCCAAGTAGCTTCGTGTTTTCTAGGAAATGTGGTAATGATTAAACGCCCTTCCAAAATATTTTCGTTATTCCATTATCTACCAACACATACTATCAACTCTCTTATTTCTCTGACAATAAATCAAACTATTTAAATTTACCTTCCAAATAACATTAATGATGGGTAATGAATTAAGAATCATAGATCAGTACTTGTAGATTATTGTCTGGTGATTTTCAAAGTCCTATCGGCCCCCTGTTTTGTGATTTGATTGTGCCTTAGCTGGGCATTTTTAAATTAGGGGAAACTATTACTCAATTGTTCTTTTTCTCTTTTGCAATCCTTTTACAAGAAGGTTGAGAGGATATTTATTTTGTAAATTTTCCAACCTCTAAAATATTGGAAGAGGAAAACAAGGCAGGCAGTATTTATTTGCCTTTGTTCTGTTTTTTTTTTTGTTTTGTTTTGTTTTTGGTTTTTTTTTAGATCGAGAACAAATAGCAAAACAACAGGAAGTGGCAGATAAACCAAAACACAAATAATGTTACTATATAACCAGTTGACTAGGCAGTATGTGGATTAGGGAGGGGGCACTTTGGAAAAAAAATTTACTTAGAAGCAATTTTAAAAAGAGAATGAAATGTGCCAGGGCTAAGACATATGAATATGTTAGGTTTTGGTCTATAAAATGGTGAGGTTGAGAATTGGAGGGTAAATCACTCACTTTTCTTTTGTTCTTGCTGTTAGAAAGATCTAAGCCATTTTGAAAAGTAAGAGCTTTGAAAATGTGAAAGATTGCAGCTTCAGATGAAGTATCTCCTCAATGGAATGTGATGTGAAAAAGAAGGGTAGCTATTAACTGTTTTGTATATGAGTCTCATTCATAAAAAGAAGAATTATTGGATAATACAGAAAGATTGTTTCCCATACAAGTCAGAGCACTCGTTGAACCATAGATTTCTGGGGCCCACGAAATTATGATTCACTAGGTTTGGGGCCCAAGCATATGCATTTCTCACGGGTTCCCTGCTGTTGTTGATATTGCTGTTTTTTGGGGGGGATATACTTTTCTCTGTAATAATATGAAGACCACTGACTATTTCTAATGCATCAAGTTTCACTTAATATATGCCGGTCGTTGAGGTGGACTTCTGTGCATTACAACCTACACAGCCTCTCTATGATCTTGAGGCAGATCATGGACCCTCTTTGAGCCTCAATTTCCTCTTAGAAGAGTAGGTTACCCTGTAGGATCAGTGGTGTGCGAGGGCTGCCTATGATTACTGCACTAGAGCCACTTGTTAAATGTTCTGGAAATCTGTGAGTGATTTGTTTCAGACTCAGTATCTTGAAGTTGGCCATGGTGGGAGTATTTGTATCACAGGAATAAGGGAGCCTTACAAATCAGGCATTTAACATTTTTTATCTCTTTTTATTTTTCGGAGAGCTGGTTTATGAATATACCACTGATAGAGCATTATACTATGAAATTTTGTGTCAGTATCCATTTCTGCAAAAAAAAAAATGTTGCCAGAAATGAATAAATGGAAAGTGTTCCCTAAATGCCTGTATTGGCATTTTTAATTTAGCAACGAGATTTAGTGACACAGAAACATTATTTTTGAGAAAAGAAGTTTTGTTTATATTTCTTATGTGCATTTGAGAAATGTAAAGAATGTTAAGTGCACAGAGGGTAATGGTTACATGTTCATATTAATTTTTGCTAGCTAATAAGATGTGGCTCATTCTAATGTTACTGTAAAAATGTTTATGGGTTTTCCAGCTACTGAAGTGGTCTAGACCTGGGGTTTATTGCTTAGATTCATTTTCCTCGAGAATCTTACAGAACTAATATGATCGGGCAATAGAATGTAATAGAAATAGCTGTGCACTAGAGGTCTGGGTTTCAGTCCTGGCTGTGCCATCAACTGAGTAGTGGCCTGAGACAAATGATTTGTCCCCTCTTCACTTTAGTTTCCCCTATGGAGAAAACAATGTGTTTGAACTCGATAATCTTTTAAACTTTTTTTTTCATCCTAAAATTCTCTTATTTTATTGAGGCCTTCATTAATTAGCAATAAAACCTGCTCTGGGCCACCTTTTGTATCTTTCACCCAGTCCCCCTTTGCAGAATGGTTGGACCACAGACTAAATTGATATAGCTGCATGAATCTGACCTGATGGCTGGAGAAGTCTTTGCTATAAGACAAATGCAGGTCATGTGTCAAGTCCTGTGTCCTCACTTGTAGTGTTGGTTTCTCCCATTGCTCATTACTGTTTCACATGAGCAGTCTTCTAAAGATGCAAGTCATTTTGCATTGGGATTACTTATCCAGCACTTTAAAATAATTTCATCTATAAAAAAGAGAATATTTATTGGTTTAAATGAACTTGCTATCAGGATCAACTTTCCATATTTATTCCTATGAAAATGTACGTATTTAGAGTTAGTGGTATCTTATAATATAGAAAATGCAATATTTGCTAGTATCCATAGTAATGAAATGATGGAAAATAGAGATGTAGAAAAATGGCATAAATATATTGAATTATCTGTATTTGAATGCAATATTCATGTTAATACTAACGAACAGCAAGGAAATTATATTAAAGAAAAGCAGTTGCATTATTTCACAATGAATATTCTGAGAGCAAATTCTGTTAAAGTATCCCATTCCCATTCATCATCAAATCTCCTATGTTTGGATTGCAAGACTGAAAACTAATAGACATGAAGAATGACTTCACTCCATGGAAAATCTCTAGTTACAACTATGTTTTGGATGAATACATTGCATTGTGTGTCTTGTAGGAAATACCTTATAATGTCTTCATCTTGAGAATTCTCAAGGAATTTTATTGTGTTCTCAATCAAGCAGTATTTACAGAGTACCTCTGTTGCATGCCAAACAGTGGGCTGAAGATTCAGTGGTGAGTACATTTAGAGAAGGGCCTTGCTATAGCAGAGCTTATGTTTTCCTCAACAAAATAGGACATCAGTTAAATAGTTATATGATTTTATATGAAATTGCAACTATACATGCAACAAAGGAGCATGGAACTAAGAGTCTTTGCAACATGGGATGGTACCTAGTTAGGGCAATGAGCAAAGGCATCTCTGAGGAAGTGACAGTTGAGCTAAGATCAGAAGGAGGAATAGGTTTAACTAAGTGAGGAAGGACGGGAAGAACATTCCTGGTGGAAGGAACTTCATGTGTGTAGGACTATTGTCTGGAGGCAGCATGGAAAACATAAAGGGTTGAAAATAAGGCCAATATGATTATAGCAGAGAGAAGGAATTGGAGTAAGGAGCAGTATGAACTAGAAACATGGAGAGGAATAAGGTGATGATCCCTTTGTATATCAGGTTAGGAGCTTTGTTTTACCCTAAGAGCAATGCAGAAGATCACTAAATTATCACAAACAGGAAGGTAACATAGAATTTGTTTCAAAGAGGTAACACCAACTGCATAGTGGAAAGAAAGGATCCCATGTGATCAGGGAACAATCAGAGTAGGAATAGGTAAAAAGTGATCTGGTAGAAGAATAAGAATTAGAGAAGCAGGCATGAGAATTAATAATTGTGGTGTTGGAACAATTATGTGTGGTGAAAGATGTCTTTTTTCATATGCATTTATTTTCCTATTAAAAAGCAAGGACTTAAGAGACAACCAAATGAACTCCAAAAAGAAACAACGAAGTAGCACCAAATAGGACCCAAATCATTGATTTTTAGTCTCTTTTTCTTACCTAGTCATGAGTGGATCATCAATATAATATTAAATATTGAGTGGCTACAATATTAAAAGCACTAAAGGCAAATACAGTGGACCTTGAACAACATCGAGTTAGGGACACTGACTCCCACCATGAAGTCGAATATCACATATAACTTTAGACTTCCCCAAAACTTACCTACTAATAGCCTACTGTTGACCAGAAGCCTTACCATAACATAGTCAATTAACACGTATTTTGTATGTTATATGTATTATATACTTTATTCTTACCATAAAGTAAGCTAGGAGAAATGTTATTAATATGTTAAGAAAATCATAAGGAAGAGCAAATACATTTATAGTACTTTACTGTATTTATCGGTACCATAAATTTATATCATCTGTTCACAAGATAAAGTATCTGTCAGTATCTGTATCAATATTGTCATTATAATGCAAAACACTGTAAATGTTATATGTATAACTAACAATAGACGTCAAAAACGAAAAGGTATTGTGAAAAAGAAATTCATGTTTATTTACAGGTTTAATGATCCTTGCATTGATAACCAAGAAGCAGCAATATGATTGCTTTTTGATAGTCTAGTGTAATTGATATGATTGCTGCAGTAGCAGTAAGAAAATCTCCAAACATTTTTCCAGTATGTTTATTGAAAAACTTCTATGTATAAGTGGACCTGTGCAGTTCAAACCC